ACCCCTTATTCCATATTCACCCCATTTAAATATAAACAAAAGTTATCTCATTAACCGCTTTTTATCTCATTAACCAAGTTTAGGAAAGTATAATACATACTTCAAGTATTGAAATACACGCCATCGTGTTGGGATTCAATATTTCGACATTAATTATGTCATTATCAGGAATGAAAAAAATATCCATATTAGCAAGCTTATATGCACTAGTACCAAAAGTGTTTAACCAATCAAAACATTACCTCTAGTAGATGACATAGCAGTAATTTCAACAAAGGATCAAAGCATTCTTACTCTAATGATCAAAGATACCTACAAAAACAAAGAAATCTCTTTTGAAACTCTGAGCCCATTGTTGAGCAAAGGGTGTAGTTTACGTATAGCGAACGCTTCTTTAAACAATAGGATAGACCAGTTTCGGGAGCTGTCAATAATGTTAGTACTAGAAAATATTAAACCTAATTTATTACTTACATTACAGACGACATTATCATTTTTAAGTCTAGTTATTAAGCACCTATTTGTCTTACAAATATAATCACTATTGCAGCCTGGACATTTAAAATGATAGACAACAGAACTTCTATACTCCTTAGGGGTTTGATCCTTAGTAAATATAAAATGAGAAACATTTTTATACTGCCATAAAGTTATGAATTTTACCTCTTTAATTAAGTGTTTCTTTACCTTATTTAAACATCTACGTAAAATGAACTCACCTGGTTTTCCTAGATAAGGCAATCTAACCCAAATCTTAATCAGGCTATCATCAGTAGGCCTATGTATACATTTAGGTTCATTTAATTTCTTAAGTACATTATTAACAACTTTTAAAGGGTACCCATTCCAAGACATAAACTTCCTGATGTTACTAAGCTCTGTTTGAAGTTTAGCAGGAGTACACAATCTGTGGGCTCTAGAAACTGAACTACGAATCCAGGAGATCTTATGGTTCCATGGACCAAAGCTATCATAATGGACATACTCATGCTTCCTACACTGTTGTTAAATTGTAATCCAGAAAGTGCACTGTGTCACTGTTTTCAAATGATTCAAAAGTAAAATTTATCTGTCTATGAAAAGCATTGAAGTAGCTTAGAATTTGCGGGAAATCATTGGGCTTAGCTAATACTAACGTGTCGTCAACAAAACGAGTATAAAACCTAATAGTACCTGATTCAATAAGTTTAGGAACAATAGACTTTTCTAGTTCAGTCATTAAAATATTGGCTAAAACTGGGCCAAGAGGCGAACCCATTGATTTGTTTGTAAAATTTATTATTACATGTAAATACAGTTTTAGTACAGCAATCTCTAAGTAGTTTCCTCAACGAATTTTTCTTAAGGTTAGTAGATATCAGTTTCTTATTGTAAACCCTACCAAGAATTATATTAATTACCTTAGTAAGGGGAACATTTGTAAACAGAGATTCAACATAAAAAGATACAAATCGGTAACCTAAATTATATAAGTTGTTTGGTATAGCTTTAATGCGGTCAGCAGCATCAAAAATATCTTTAAGGACAAAATCATTATCCGTATGAGGGCCTAATAAGTTTGATAAGAACTTAGCTATTGAATAAGAACAAGTACCGGTCGTGTCAATAATAGGTCTTAGGGGTGGAATATTATCAAAATCTTTATGTAATTTAGGTAGTCCATGGGCTCTAGCAGGCATGGTTGATACTGGACGAATTTCTTTGTATTCAGTTTCAGTTAGTTCATTTCTATTAAATAGTGTCCGGTGGGCTTGTAAGGAGTTAAGCTGCGTGGTTAATGAACAGTTAGATAGTTTCTTAAACTTAGTTAAATCAGAGAACAAGTTCGTCATAGATGTGATATAATCAATTTTCTTCATTATCGCAACACCATTTCCTTTATCAGGTTTAAGAATTACATACTTATTACGTAAGATTCTTAAAGTATTAATACGTTTGGCATCACAATTTAAATTTCGATTATCAAAGTCAAGAAAGTTACATGTCATTGCACGAATTGAGTTCCTCATTTTCTCACGTTTACTGAATGATTTAGGTAGAGCATCAGCATTATTAAGTTAATCCCAAATTGATTCAGCATAAGCAAACATATCAGAGTCCTTAGGTCGTGCAGCTAATCCATTACGGATACCAAATGTTAAGACAGATTCTTCTTCCTTAGATAAGTTAGTAATTATATGGTTAGGGTTCTTACACGTTCCATTGATTATTGCATGTTCACGTAGAACGTTGTTAAATTTACGTCCATGGCGGTAAGATACCTTACGCATTTCCTTATCTACAGTAGTCCTAACATGATGCTTAATTACAAAACCAAGTTTTTCGTCAAAGTTTAAGCATAAGCAAACATATCAGAGTCCTTAGGTCGTGCAGCTAATCCATTACGGATACCAAATGTTAAGACAGATTCTTCTTCCTTAGATAAGTTAGTAATTATATGGTTAGGGTTCTTACACGTTCCATTGATTATTGCATGTTCACGTAGAAGGTTGTTAAATTTACGTCCATGGCGGTAAGATACCTTACGCATTTCCTTATCTACAGTAGTCCTAACATGATGCTTAATTACAAAACCAAGTTTTTCGTCAAAGTTTAAGAAGAAAATTATTATTAAGTTACGCACATATGTTAAAGTCGATCGGGAGAAAAGGTAGTTTATACTTGTTACTATTTAGCCTAGTTGTTGCTTGTATAGCGCTTCTCTTTTAAGTTTTTCCCTGGTCATTGGTTTCACATGCTGAAATATTCGTGTAGTAGCAGGGAATCCCACCAGATACAAATTTATACACCTGTGTGTAGAGAAGCAATGAAGATAAAGTGCCTTGCTTAAGGACGCAAGCGAAATGCACAGCGAGGAATTAAAAATCCGACCTCAAGGTTCAGAAACCAAACCGTTCTATCTGAGCCAAACCACTTCTAAAGTTTTGTAACTTTTTGTGCATAGAAATAAAAGCAAGAGCAATTTAAATATTCGTTTGACCATTGAATATCAAGTTTTTGCTATTATATAGTAGTTGCACATTGGCTGCAACACGACGCCCGTTGTTTGACATACGGCCAAAGGTTATCGACAAAATCTCCTTTGAATGGACTTCTTTACCTGGGGGTCTCTGTGAAACACAACGACCAACATAGACAACACAAACACTAATAGATTACATATAAAACGACTTTATTGAACAAATACAGCACCAAACATCAAAGGTCGTGCAATATGTACCGCGAAGCTACACTGTCTCAGTTTTTTTATTCACTATAAACAGACGAAATGGGAGAACGTCTTAACATCGATGCATCTGACAATGAACCTAAAAAACATTATTACGGTGAATCCAAAAAATATGACCCAACTTTCGATGGACCAACTTCTAACAGGAGTTGTACAGATATTATTTGCTGTTTTGTGTTCGTTTTGTTCATTGTTGGCCTCGGAGTGGTCAGTGCCATTGGGTTCCAGAGATGTAATAAGGAAATATATATTTATCCAACAGATTACTTAGGTCAAGTATGTGGGATGTCAGAATCTGTAGTAGACAAACCCTACCTATTCTTTTTTGACTACCTGGTGTGTTTGAATGAGGTAAAACCTCCGAAACTTGACTGCACTACATCGCTGCAAGTATGCGTTGATGAATGCCCAAAGGAAAACTATGCCATCGAAGCTCGATACTCCAAAAAATTAGATGATCCGAACGTCGATGTTAATTCCATCGATTGGAATGATTTCATTTGTATCTATGGATTAAATGCAAAAGATGAAGTAAATAAGTCTGATGCCACCATAAAGGACCTTTTGAATGACAATAAATGTGCAAACTTTTACACAAAAAGTGATGTGTTTACCAGTCGCTGTTATCCCAAATTCTTAGTTTCTGACACGTTATCAGAAAAGAACACCACACCAAATAACCGACAAATAACCGAAGAAGATCGCGCTGTCGCATATGACCTGCTAAACCTTCTTCAAAGCTATGAAAGTTTTAATAACACAGTCGAGGAATTCATAGAAACGTGGCCGTATATGGTGGCTGGTATTACGATATCAATGTTCGCTTCTCTGCTTTACATTGTTTTAATGCGCTGGATTGCAGCCATTATGGTTTGGAGTAGCATCGTATGGGTGTTTGCACTTTTAGGGTACGGAACCTACTTCTGTTGGAATGAATGGAACTGCATAAAAAATCATGAATCTGATTGTACTTCAGATAGATCTTCATTGGATTATAACGAACTTGCGAGCTACCTCAAAATGGAGAGAATCTGGTATATATCAGCTATTATAATGAGTACAGTCTTAGCAATTCTCACCCTAGTTGTGTTATTACTAATCAAGAGTATTCGTATTGCTATTGCTTTAATGAAAGAAGCAAGTACAGCAGTTTCATCAGTACATTTTTCTCTCTTGTGGCCTATCATCCCGTTCATCATGCAGCTAGCCTTTCTAAAATTTTGGGCATTTAGCGTAATCTTCATAGCATCCATTGTGGAACCACCATACCAGATAGTTAACTCGGATTCAACCGACGAGAATACAGACGGTGCAAGATGTAACCCAACAGTTTCACTCAATGGAACAGCTAAATGTGTTCTGATAGGTTATAACATCGTCCCAAATTACATCTACTGGTTGGAAGCATACAACCTAGTGGCTCTATTTTGGATTTTAAACTTCATACGTGCTCTTGGGCAAATTACTCTAGCGGGAGCATTTGCAAGCTACTATTGGGCATTTACTAAACCAGATGACATCAAACACCTACCTCTGCTTCGATCATTTTGGAGAAGCATTCGTTATCATATTGGATCAATCGCCTTTGGCTCCCTGATCATATCCATCATCAAACTGATTCGTTTTACCATACAATATGTTGAAGACAAAGTAAGCAATGCAGACAATTGCTTCACAAAATTTATCGCTTTGTGTTTTAAATGTATCTTTTGGTGTTTAGATGCCATGCAGTATAGGTCTATAAATCACAACGCATACATCGAAATTGCTGTGTATGGCAACACTTTCTGTACATCTGCAAAAAATGCATTCCTTCTCCTCATGCGAAATATAGCTCGAGTCATGGTCCTGAATAGAACTTCAAGCTTTATACTCTTCATTGGAAAAATTGTGATAACATTCGGAACAGCATTTGGTGCGTCAGCTTTTTTTCGCAACTCCTTGTCGACGTTTCCGATTGTTGTTGATAGCAGAGGTGTGCCAACGTTGAATTATTTTTGGGCGCCAATCTTGTTCATGGCACTAGCCACGTACATCGTTGCAGACAGCTTTTTTGACGTGTACGATATGGCGATCGATACATTGTTTCTGTGCTTCCTTGAAGACTTAGAGCGACACGATGGAACACCAGAGAAGCCTTACTACATGTCAAAACAACTGATGCATATACTTGGAGTGAAAAAACAAAAAGAAAATGAATGGATGTTGTCACTAACTTTACATCATTGTTTAGAATTATTTAGTGTTTTGTTAACAGCTATCCCAAACTAAGTTCTGCTGAACCTAGTGGGGGAATTTACAGCTTGCTCTACTTATGTACATAAACTATAACACCTACATGAACTTTATGTTACTTCATTATTTCTGGTGCTTCATTATGCTTCTGGTGCTTGAAAAATAGTATGCGGTACATAAAACCCTTAGGGGTCCGCGAAACATAATTGGGGTCCGCCAATTTAAAATGGTCCGCAGGGTGTCCACTAAACAAAAGTTGTGGTTTGCTAGATGCAGGGTTTCCGGAACGCCGCTCTCAGCGGCGTGTGCGAAGCACAACTCAAAGTCAGAAGTGGAACGTGAAATTTGGATATCGTTTTGCAGTCAGATTTACGAGAAAAACTTCAGCTACCCGTAATTCTCGACTGAGACGTCAGTGGGAGCTGTAATTTGTATGGCAAGGGGATTGTGCTACCCCTTAATTCGTATTATGGAATTTACGCCACAGAACTCGTAGTTATTAATATTATTGTTATAATAGAAATTTTTTATTTTTTGGTGACGTGAAACTCACAATATAATTAACATGCAAACGTCTTTTACATCACCTTTTCCTGGTAAGACAAACTTTCCTGGCGTGTGTTGTAACATTAGCATATTGTTAGCTAACCAGCTGCGTGTATTGGGAAGAGGGAACTTCGAAATAATTGTCTCAATATCTTCTCACCGTACTTTAGCTTATACTTGTGCATGGAATACCTGCAGCACTTAAAATATAAAATAATCAATTCACTACCTGACAAACACCGAACTTTATTCATGCATTACATAAATAGTTGCTGTACTCCTACATTACTGGCGCATCGTAACGACCAACTGACTGCAGACCATTTCCGGTCACACATTACTCTCCATAACAAAGCACCCCTAGTTGCGTCACCTCTGGATTTGTAAATTGTTTTAACTGGTGTTGCAATTCAATTCCAATATTTTATTGCTGAATCTTTTATATTTGATTTTTAAGTATGCTTCATGTGAAGGTGTTTAGTGTAGGACAACCACTTGTTTGAATTACCTTCAATTACCTATTAAATAAGTGGATAAATAGGCTGCTAATTGCCTTATAACACCATATTTTACTGTTGTGGATGAAGGTTGCTTATTTGCTCAAAATAATTTCTTCTGAAAATGCTGTTGTTTATAGTCTTTCGTCATTTTTTTTAAAAAAGGTGCATTTTTAAGCTTAATCTCTTGATATATATCTCCCATTGGCTTATTATTATATATATATATAATAATAATAATAATAATAATAATAATAATAATAATAATAATAATAATTTAGTTTTTGGTTTTTTTTCTCTCTCTCTCTTTTGTGGGAGCAACCCCCCTTTATTATCTTTTTCCAGTATACATTTCATACAACACATGTTCTTGTTGTAGGCTATATACAGTATTTACATTGATTCATACATAAACACTCATACATGCATATACATATATAATTATGTACATGCACATTATATAAACATTTACATATTTAGTAAGTAAAATTGGTTTAGAGAACATTATGTTTTTATTCAGCATATACTAAACCTGTTTTATTATTTTCCCTTAGTGGTTTTAGTATAGAATATATAAAAAAACAATTTGTTTTAAAATGTACATATTATACAGACGCATTAAATCTTAAAATAAACTATATACGTTATGCTTTTCACATTTTTGTGTATCTTACATGGTAAAGCTCAACTGCACTGGACAATTTAAATTAAAAATATATAAATATGATAATTAAATCATTACTAAAAAACTACAAAAGTTTATTGTCTCGACAAAAAAAATTAAAAAAATAAAAAACATTTGATTTGACCTAAGTGAATATTAAGGTAAGATATACATATAGACACGATATATTTATATTTCGACCTGGGTCATCAGTGGTGGCTTCAGACATTTTTCGAGGTGAGTGAGGTCCCAACCAAGGGACTGTCTAGATCTGTCCTCGTTCCTTCGGGGTTCCTGGACTAAAATCCCTGGAGCAGTTCATTGAAAGAGGTTTAATGGTTTAGGATGGTCCGAAATTGTGCTCTAGCCTACAATGTTATCGATTGGAAAATCAAAAGCGGATGACGGGGTGTCGATGCTTGTCCGACAAGGGAAAAAAATTTCATTCCTGACCCCACCACCCCACCATCCTCTCAAAAAAAAAATGCAGACGCTGCATACACTTCGCGTAAAAGATGGCCTCGATAAGCCTAATCTAACCTTCGGTTTCGTAATACCTACATACAACATAGTATTATTTCTTGTTGACTTATAGTTTCGTCAAAGGAAGACGCTTCTACAAGTCACCAGTTACAAAGATAAAAAGCAGGCCTATACTAATAAAAAATTGACATGTCAGGATCGTTATATATTTAGTAGGCATTGATGGACGGAAAATACAATCCTAAATCGAAAGAGTTGAATTGTGCGTGATTAAAGTAAAAAACAAATGCTTAAAATTTGTTTTCAAATAGGCCTAGTTTTCCAGAGGGCGTTTGTTGGATTAATACTATTCACATTCGACAAAATTAACATTCTCAAAGTTTTAAAATATATAGGCCTATACACAATTATGAAAAATTAAAAATATATATTAAGGTAATTCAAAAAGAACTGTACGCACGTACTACGTTCGTGAGGAGATATGTACGTTCTACTGTTGAATTGTCTTGTTTAGATTATTACTTTAAAAATTAAATGAACGAAAATAGGTATAGGTCTATTCAGTATATTTTGAATAAAAGTAAAACAACAAAAAGGTACTAGGAGAAAATTATTTAAATGCAAATTTTTGATATATTGCTTTACTTAAATATAATAATAAATTTAATAATACTAAATTTATGTTTATATAGCGCAGAATGCTAAACCTCTATGCGCTTTACATTAAAAGCAAAAACAGATACAGAATTAACAGATAACATTATAAAACAGTGAGCGAAAAGCTTTTGCCACCAAAACAAAAAATAGCTAAATTTTATGATTAATTTATATATATATATATATTATTTTTAATTTTTTATTTTATTAAATATCAACCACGCTTTTATCTCAATTACCTCCTTTATTCCATTTTCTTTATTATTATATTTCATTTTAGATTTCTCATGAATCAAAAAATCCATGAACAAAAATACAGACTTCAATTCAATATATTTCGAATAAAAGTAAAACAATAAAAATGTACTAGGAGAAAATGTAATGAATTAATAAAAAAAATCAATACATTATAAGAAAAATTAAAACAAAATTTATCGTTTAGGCATAGGTAGCGTTCGACTGTGTAAAGGATTCCAGAAACGAAAAACTGGGAGAAAATTCACCCTAGATATATTATAGTTAGGCCTATAATCTTATAAATTACATAATTATTATGTTCTATACATCAGTATAATTGTTACAGTTATCGTCAGTTTATTCATCATTATCACCACCCCACCAAAATCACCATCATTATCTCCTTAACCATCATAATTATAATCGTCTTCATCATCATCATTCTCATCATTATCTCCATCATCATTATAATTATCATAATCATCATCATTATTATCATCTTCATCACTATCAATGTATCACCTTTATTATCATCATCATCATAATCACCATCATTATTATCATAATATTCAGAGAATATAAACGGATGGATTATCTAATGTAAAGATGTTTTTATAGTGTTACACAATCACTTGGTATTTTACTGTTTACTGTACCTTTCTTAATAGCTAAGCTGGATGGATTAACCTTTGACAAACGGACAGTGAAATTAAAGAAATCATCATTTTTATTATTTATTCATTCGGGAAAGCAATCACAACGTCACAAAGCAATACAAAGCACACGTTTACATAATATATAAATAGTATTAATTATCAAATAAAATGCGTAATAACGATTACCCCCTAAATACGCACATAAGATAATGTTTACTTTTATACGGCTTACTTATAGGCTTACCGCAATTGTTACTATAATTAGTGTACTGTTAAAATTGATAATGGAAGTACTTTTGTTTTGTTGTTGTTTTTTTTTTGTTTTTTTTTTTTTGGACCGACTGCATAATGTTGACGCATGGTTTATCGTCTTCAAGTTTATCGAACGAATATTTCGCCGGGTATAATTTATAGGCTGCCATTATCCAGCACATTTATCTGCATTTTGCGGAAAATATATAGGCATTCTCTAAAATTACGCAAGACACTTCCTAAGACGCAGTTGTGCTACAGGTAGAAAGCTGAAAATCTTAACTTGATTTAGCTGAATGAAACTTGGAGAAAAATGTACAGAAAAATTTAGTTATTCAAAAACAAATAAAACAATGGAATGGGAATTAAATATCTTCAACCAAGATGACAATCATTTTTTTAAATGTTTTTCATTGTGGTCGTGGATATAACGAGAGAAAGATCAATATATTTTATCATCATTATCGTCATCATTATTACCTTCATCGTAATTATTATTAATATCATCATCATCATCACATCTGGAAAACCATCAATACGCGGATAAAAATAGGCTTATTCTTTTTATTAGCAATATTTTAGTTACACAATTGCTTAGTAAATTAATTAAAGAATTATAATGTTTTTATTACCGTAAATCTGGATGATTTGTTCCATGTATAGACGGTTAGTAAAATGGTAAATGAATAAATTATTTTTAAAATGAATATTAATATAAAAGTAGATTTACCTTTATATATCGTGTACATGTCCATACGTTGAAAAAACTAGCATATATTACAAAGGTTTGGATAACACATCGGTACGGTAGCGATTTCCCACTTGGTACCTCGTTTTTTAGTAACAAAGAGGAATTTCTAAACAAATATCAGTAAACCTTTGCTTATACCGTCGACACTTTGACCACAATATTACTTTAATTATTATTATAACAGAGGTGGTGCCAGGATTTGCCAAAAATGTCCCCGACCGAAGGGGTCACCTCCACAATGGGTACGTAGATGGACGTGATCGTATGACAACTTATTGGATTCAAATTCTAATTTAAACGATTTTTTTTTGTCTACTAATATGTTAACAAATTATATTTTTTCTTTTTCTCGACAAAGTGTGTTTTCCTCCCAAACGGGAGGCCCGCTTTCAACGACAGGGGCCGTCCCCTTCTGCACGGCCTACAACTGAATTAAAACCAATACACTGACTCTTGTAAACTTATATAATGCATAAGTTATTATGTTATTAAGTATTATTAAGTTATTATACAAACACACAAAACAAAATAATCATAAATTTATTTTTTGATTTAGAAATATCATTTTTTAAATATAATTAAATACCTATTAAGACACGTATTAATGTCGTCGAATAATTTGACTGGTATAGTAGACCAATATAAACAACTATTCACACTGTAATTATTGTGAGGCTTGCTGAGAACAATATTCTTGACTTTAAATTGTGAAATGGATATAGGCCTATACAAACACGCTTTAACAGTACCATATTGATTAAAAAGAAAAAAAATAATATATTAATATTTCTATACCATAAACTATTAACAAATAATATGTAAGCCTTATATCGAACACTTTTACAGGTACAATAGAAGAACAATAGCTAGTGCATACACGTTCAGTAATCATTGTTGAGGCTGGTTATTATATTCAAATTATTATCAAATTTATTTAAGGCTTAATTGCACTATAATTATTAGTGGCGTAATAACATGTTCAGACAATGGCAGCACTTTATATTATTATGTGCTTTTTCTCCATTAGAGTGTCCATAGTTAGGGTTAACCGTCTTAAAGTTTGTTGAATGCCTCGACGAGTATACAGTACCGGAATTATATTACAGGTCCCACTGAATAGTAATATGTTATGATGGTTCTTACCTGTTATTTGTGAAAGAGCAGTAGGACGTACACCTGCACATCTAATGACTATTACAACACGTGCACGGTACAGATCTTCTACTTGGTACTCCGTTAAAAAAAAAACAAAAAAAAAACAAAAAAAAAAAAAAAAAAAAAAAAAACAAAAAAAAAAAACTTCTACACAAAATATAAATAAAACATTCAAACTAATGTCAACTTTTAAACTACTCTACAAAACTGTAATCAGTATGTTATTTAAATTTGCGTTTTCAGCAAGGTAATTCATTCAGTCATTGAATCGCTGTAAACTGGAAATTCACTGGCTTATGGTAGGTCGACTCATATAGCGTGCAATGGTGATGAGTTTCTATGTTCCTCGCTGTAACTACTGCAGCCACAGTTCGAGTGTCACTAACGTTGCGGCGAACTGGTTTTCGTTTTTTTGTTTTTGTTTGTTTGGTTTTTTTTTTTCTACTTCATTGTTTTTTTTTAGAACTAAAAGTATTCTGGTTTTCCGTCTTGTGTGTCATACACAGTGATTTGGATTTTCAAGAAAATGAAGCCATACATAAATAATGTTTGTCTTCTTTTATAGCATAGGGAGTTTCATCTTACATAAGCGTGATATTTGATTTATAAAAATAATTTGAAGTTGAACACTAAATCCGCAATCTATGCACTTTGTATTAATTAATAATGAACATATTAAACATAAATTTGTCATTATTATTATTAAAAAGGAAAAATTGACTGGCACCTTAAATACGCTGGGATATGGATTTTCAAGAAAATGAAGTCATAAATATGTCTGCGTTTAAACATAAGGAGTTGCACCTTACATAAGAGTGATATGGATTTATAAAAATAATTTGAAGTTGAACACTAAATCCATGCACCTTGTATTCATTGATAATGAATATATAAAACATAAATTTGTCTTTTTAAGTATTTATAATTTTATTTGTTTCGTTTGTATCCGTCGAGTGTTTGAGGTTGGTGGCCCTAGCTAGCCATCTGCCTTAAATGTTGTATTCTCTAGTTCCTGTCTCTTATACACATCTAGATGTGTATAAGAGACAGTCATCATGGTAAGGGAAGCACTCCAGGTAGAACAAGTACATTTACCCCTTAAAAATATACATTCACATTCAGCCCATATAACATGTAGAGTAGCAATTTCCTACTAATTGGTGCTCACGTACCGTAATCATTACATAAACAAAAAATTATATCAATTATTATCAAAGTTATTTAAGGCTTAATTGTACTATAATTATTAGTGGCGTAATAACATGTTCAGACAATGGCAGCACTTTATATTATTATGTGCTTTTTCTCCATTAGAGTGTCCATAGTTATGGTTAAATGCTTTATATCGAAGTCATAGAGTAAAGTGAATTGTGTGCTTGAGGGCAGTGTCCTTTTCTTCAAATTCAATTACTTGAATATACTATAATACTATACACCAACTGCAATAATCTACACTACAGTAATAAAATCATGGTAAAATAATCAAAAGTCATAAAGTTTATGCTTTATATCTACGTCATGAATAAAGCGAATTGTGTCGTTGAGGGCAGTGTTTTTATTTCTTTAAATTCAATGACTTGAAAATACATTTAAGAACCAGACATCAAGTTTATGACTTATGAAAACCCGTATGTTTGTCAAAATTTAGACTAGCATCCAAATAACAGTCAAAATGATTCACGAATGCATATCTCATTATTATAAACTGAATACAATTTATTTTCTAATTACACATGATACATTACGAATATTTTCCTTTTACATTATTCTTAGTTAACATCAAAGAACCACTTTCCTCCTCAATAGATATTTGAAAGGCTAAATTTATTCTCTTTTCTTCGCCATTGTAAATTTCCAATTTCTAATCGTTGTGTATATCGAATTTATTTATTAAATTACAATTAAAAATAATAATTAACAGTGCCAATTCATCCCAAGTTCAGTCATTAAATATAGTTTTTGTATACACTCTAATTGTTGTTATTAAATATATTATTTTAAGCATATTGATTTGTCCTTTTTAAACAGTAAAAACCCCTACAACCTATAAATATTCACGATGACTTTAAAAACGACCTTAAAATGAGATTTGTCTTATTGCATTAAGAAAAGCATAAAAAATGAAAATTCACATTTTCAATAGATGTATCTTTAAAAAATCAACTGTATTTAGTATATTTTTGATTTAAATAAGATGGAAGTATACTCAAAACATCAACTTATGAGTTGTTTTGTCGTGTCAGGGCCACGTGTAGTTAGGCTAGTCCCTAGTCTAGGTCTTTGGTATGGGTCCACCTGGTCCTACGATCTATTGTTGAATCAGTCGTCTCCATATCCATCTGCAATGACAAATTGTAATGGGAATATATTACTACTTTGTAAATCCTAAATTAATCGTTTTCTGTACAAAGACGACATATAATAATAATATTCAAAATAATATAAGTATACTATTATATTATATACAGCTGAAGCAAATTTATTTAGATTCAAATTTGTTTCAAAATATGCGAACAGTGACAGTGGTGGCGGCGGCATCATAAAATACATAAGAAAATTTTACAGTCGAAAGGACTGTAAAATGAAAAGGAAGTCAACTCAAACAAGGCTCAAAATCAACTTCAAGATAAGGGTTTAGATATCAGGATCTTGCACTAATCTTTTACTGCATTTATATATAAACTATACAATTAATGGTTTACAATATAATCTTTAATTATTTACAGTATAGATATATACTACATAACAATTAATACTTTAAAATATAATCTTTATTATTTGCTTAAGGGCGTAGTATGCTGCCCTGTCATGAAAAAACCACTCAACTGACAATTTTAAAGAGATAAAAAAACATGAACATACCTTGCTCTTCTGAATAAGAGTATCGCATTTTGATTACCCTACTGTCATCTGTAAGCATACTTAAGTTTTGTAGTATGTCTCCGGCTTCCTCGCAGAATGTGATGATTACATCTGCTAACATCATGTCTTTGTTAAAGTTCTAGAATTAACAGAGAAATAATAGTGAGAGAGGTTAACATTTGGTTTAGCCATGACATAACTATTATTATTAATTTGTCAACAATGTATTTGTATTGTTGTATATTACCATTTTATTGAAAATGTATAGATAATAATAATTATTATTATTATTATTGTTATTATAATAATAATAATAATAATAATAATAATAATAATAATAATAATAATAATAATAATAATAATAATAATAATAATAATAATAATAATAATAGTAGTAGTAGTAGTAGGTAGCTAGTAGTAGCTAGGCCCCTAGCATAGCGCAAGGCCCTAATTGTACTAAAAACCAGCTACTAATAGGCTAGGCCCATTTCATTTCCAGTTGCTTTTCATCTTCTATTTCTAACTGCTCATCTGTGTCATTAACGTTTTTTTTACATTATATCTATTTGTGTGAATGCAAATTTTGATTGTATGGAAAATAAATCCTACAGAACAAAACGATTGTACATTTAATTTTTTTTTTTTTTTTTGTGGGGGGAGGGTGGTTTTTTTAGGATAGAAATATTTGCCTTTCGTCCGGTCCGCTTTTGATTTGGTAATTCTCAATTTTGTGTTCCCCATATATAATAAATAAATAAAATTCGAAACATCTCAGGTGTATTCTGCGTTGTTAAATAGAAATGTTTTTAGGTATCATTGCCGTTATCTTATCATCATCATCGGTATCATCATCGGTATCATCCTCACCATCGTCATCATCATCATTATTCTATAGTTACTACTACTAAAACAGTAGTAGTATTAAACAAAACTTCATAAACGCTTGCAAAACATCACATCAAATTGAACCATATCACATTTCTGTAACTTAAAAGACATGGCCTGGTATTTATAGATTTAAGTTCATTCTTTTTTAAGTAAATTGAATTGATTTATTTAAGTAAATTGATAATTCCGCCCCTTGAGCGGTAGCCGTTATAAACCCGAATATTATATTTTTTGTATTATTGTGTATATAATAAGTGAAAAATTGATAAATCTGATTAATATAAACGGTTTGAAGAATCATACAATGAACGTTTATTAAAGCTGAATATGAAGTCGACGCAGAACCAACGTAATCTTTCCACATTTCTTTTTGTTTGCAAGCTATTGTATCAAAATAATGAGTACTTTAATAGCCTATTGAGTGTAAATCTACGATACTGCGAAAAATCTCATGTAAGAGACTGAAATCCAGAACTGACAGCGCAAAATATTGTATTCCAACAATATTCTGTAGGATATGGGACTCTTTACAGATGGAAGTTAAAGACGCACTAATTTAAAAAGTTTTAACATAATAATAATAATAATAATAATAATAATAATAATAACGATTTTTAAAGCGCAAACATCACCACCAAAAATTGGTGCTCAAGGCGTATTTCGAAAAGAAGTTAAAAACTAGTTTTTAGATAATTACTCGATAGAGGCCATGCTATTCGATGAAAATGTATTGCGACTGATACAATTAGAAATTGTGCAGCACTTAAATTTTTTTCACTTGTATTTTAGAGAAGTACCGGTTTTTTTTTAGCGATCCCCCATGTATTATGGTCTATGATTGGACAAAATTTGAAACAGATTCAACTGTAGAAAGTGACAGTGTTGGGCGAAGAAACAGTGAAAAAATATAGGAAAACACCAACAATGTTTTTCTCTGCTAATGAAAAGAAATAGCAATAGTATTGATTGGCTTTAAATTTTATTCCAGTTTTTTTTTTCTCTATGATATTAATATCAAACATAAACAAAAATACTGTAATGCTATAGAATTACAACATTCGGGTCAACATGGATAGCCAGTAAATACACGATAAACCATGTATTAAAAGAGAAATCAATATATAACTCGAAAAGATCTTTTCAGTTTCTCGGGACATGGGACAGGAAACAAAAGTACAAAATGCTAGTTAACGTTGAGAGACCATACAATTTTAAACACAAAATTTGCATAAATAAGCCACACATAAATCAATTTTTAAATGCATTTTATCATCAATGGGCAAGACAGGCTCAGTTTCTTTTCATAAAAGACAATAGGCTTATTTTCTTAATTTGACATTTTCATCAACACAAAATAAATTAAACCTCCCAAAATCAAACACTAAGGTAAGATAAGCGATCATCTTTTTAATAGTGTGCTCAAATTGAAATACAGTAGTATGTTCTTTAATTGAAATAACGTCGCAACAGTAAGAATAGGTAGTTTTCGCCGTACGACGTTAGCATTAACGTTAACGGATGACGTCATAATTAATTCATCTTGCGTTGCTGAGTACGTTTTCCATGAACTTAAGTGCTCGACGTACGTTAATTACGGGTTTGCACATGCCTATTTCAATTTGTTTAAAAAAGGAAGGATCAATCGCGTTGCATGGCAGGTACTGACGTTAAAGTTAAGGTTAATGTTCTGCGGTGAAAACTACCTAGTTATCTAGTGTGATTTCAAGTTGAGGTAATGAAGTCGTATGCTACCGAATTAAAACATTGTGCAATCAATTTGAAACACTGTGCTACCCATTTGAAATATGTGTTACCCATTTTAAATACTGTGCTACCCATTCGAAACACAGTGCTACCTATTTAAAACACCGTGCTACCAATTTGAAAGAATGTGCTACCAATTGGAAACATTGTGCTCCCATTTGAAACACAGTGATATCAGTTTAAACACTGTGTTATACATTTGAAACATCGTGATACCCATTTGGTACACTGTGCTACCCGTTTGTAACGAGTGCTCTCAATTTAAACAGTGTGCTATCCATTTGTATCATTGTGTTATTCTTTTGAAGCATTGTGCTACCTATTTGAAACGAATGTTATCCATTAGAAACGTGTGCTACCCATTTGAAACACTGAGTGCTATTTGATAAATTGTGCTGTCCTTTGAAAACAATGTGCTACTCATTTAAAACAGTTCGCTACCCACCACTTGAAACACTTTCCATTTGAAACATTGTGTGCTATCCATTTGAAACATTGTGATATCCATTCGAAACAGAGAGCTATCCACCTGAAACAGTATGCTACCTATTTAAAAATTGTGCCTTTAAAACAGTGCGCTACTACCCACCACTTGAAACACTACTCATTTGAAACAATGTGCTCCTCATTTGAAATAATCAGGGGATCCAACAGTAGGCTGTTTTGTCACTAAATGTACCTCACTTTGGAAACCATAACTAATAAACTGATAATGTTAAAGTTAAAATGAAGCGTAAGTTACGGCCTTATACAATTTTGACAGTATGCCTACTAATCATCTTTAATTATCTGTTGAATACAATATTTGGCTTATTCAATTGGTTGGCGATATTGCAGACAAGAAATTTTTGCCGAAGTGTAAAAAATACTAAAGACAAGAGTTGATTGAGGACAAATTCTCCCCTCACCATCCAATGAATATTTATATTCGTTCGGATTTTTTGCAATTCTGTGTATATACACACGCATTTAAATTATCATATAGTGATCTGTTGGCGGGGGAGGGGTGGTGCTGACCAGCAATCATGTGCAGGCGATTTGCTACTTTGCCCTTCTAACCGCTAGGCCATTCGACTCGCCAGATTGTAAAAAGAAAATGTATAAAATTGTCAATCAAGTTCTCTTCAATGGTTATCCATCACCCTTTTTTTAAAATGTAAATACAGGATGTCGCCAAGCGAACACTCTCATCATACTTATTTCTTTTATGCAAAGAGGTATTACTAGCAAACATAAGATCAATTGAAAAGATGCTGCTGAGGCTACTTTACACCTATACGGATCTGAAGGGAATATGGTGGAGTTATTTAATCAAGTGGACTGATGTCATAAGATCTCTTTGTTAAATAAGGTTAATTATCAATAAACCATGTGCTGTCTGGATTGGAAGTAGGAATAAATGTCAAATAAACTTGTGCGAAGAAAAGGGTTTTCAACGGCCAGATGATGGAAAATTTAATTTACTTGGCATTAATGTTTGTACTGATTTCGCCTAACCTTATAATAATTGCCTTTTATCCATACGAAAATCTTTAGCACAGTGGTCAAAAAGATATTTAACTCCTCTGAGACCATTGTGAAATCATTAATTCTTCCAAAGATAAATCGCTTAATTTTAACCATTGCAAATCCCTGTAAATCATTCAATACTGAGCTTAATACCCTGCTTTTTAAATTTATTTGGAAATCATCCGAAAAATAAATAGAAAACAAATATGTAAAATCAAAAATAAAGGTGGTAATTATTAATACAGTTCCAATAAAAGAGCGTTTTTAAGCATTGAAAATTTCGTGGATCAGAAGGTATCTGACATCATCTGGAAAAAGGAATATTTTGACCGATTTTTTTTGTTCCCAAAATGTGTGGTATATTAACGTACACATATGATTTTAACTACTAAAAAATATACTTTCTGGAATGAAGCTATGGCTTGGTGCGAATTAAATAGAAAAAAAAAATATCCGTTAAACAGTACAGATATCTTAAGTACGGGTCTATGGGGAAATAGTAATATAACAAAAGATGATAAAGTGGTGATTTGCAAGAGTTGGTATGAAAAGGGTGTAGTTTACATAAACGACTTACTAAGACAGATAAAAATGCCTTGATGATATGGAAACAGTTTAAGAAACAATATGATATCAAATGTAAGGAATGAAAGCATTTTTATAACAAAATTGTTTCTTCAGACTTTATTATTCCAAAAAAGCATGATAAAATGGAAAGAAAAAATCAAGATAAACAGGACAATCGAGGAATTGAAACGCATGTATATCCTGCCTTTTAAATGTTTAGGGCAAACAAATCTACAGTGGCTCCAATACAGAATAAATCATAGAATAATTGCTACAAATGTATTTTTATAGTATAACTGCAATAACTGGGGATGAGAAACGTATTTTTTTGTCATAGCGTAATTGTAAATTTGCTCATCAAATATGGATAAAACGTTTAGAAAAATATCTTTCACTTTACAGTCCATTTTATACTGACAAAGTTTGTCGGTATGAAATTACTATTATAATTGCTACAAAATACTTTAAATTTATAAATGCAGATTAGACTAAACGATTCCAAATATCTATGATACGTGGCTATACAGACGCCATCAGGAATTCCCCAGCTCCGTTGAAAGTGACTTTCTTACCATCAAGAGTTGTTACGTGAGGGTCTCCCGTACCTGCTGCTGGTCTAGGTGGATCATAATCCGAGCAATCATCTGATGGCCGTTTTTTATAGTATTTGTCGCAGTTGTTTGATAATTTGCAGCAGGCAATATACGGAAGCACATCATACGCTTGATGGAGCCAGAAATGATCCGCTGGACTGTATCTGTCAGCAGTTCCTCCACCCGGGGGTCCGACTAAGATGTTACCATCTTTTCCATAACAGCACTGTTGGCCAGAGCCTGCTTGGGTTGATGTTGTTGATCTGAAGCAGTCCTCAGCTCCTTTATGAAAGAAAAAATTCAGAAAATTTGCATTTACGAAGTTAGAATCCGCATTAGCCTGAGTTGAAGTACATGGACAGGCGGGAACGTCATTTGGAACACTTAGTATCTTGGTGGAAGCTATACAAAGAACATGACTAACTAATTTAATTAGTAGGTGTCTCGTATATCTTTTCACCAACCAAGTGACGCCGCGTAAGATAGATTTCCCGACACGTTCTTTCTCGACACGTTTTATGTGAAATGCTGCACTCGACAAGTCTAATCCCCTTTTTATTGCATTACCAAGACGTGAAATTAGAAGAGCTGTAGAGATGATGACGCTACCGTTGTTTGGGGCCATTTTTATAACAGTGATATCTTCCATCAAAACTGGAAAGCCGTTGTTGTTAATGTCCGAGTATTGTATCATGACATCAACTTCCATTACGTCTTCACCCATGATTTCAGGATCCCATGATAAAATAATGGGATCGTGCACTGTGAGATCGATAATCTCGCCTCTTTCTTCCCAATTTGCCTGTGTAACAGTCAGAAGAGGCTCCAAGTCTTCTTGCGATGCTACGTAGACAATGCCAGTGTACGGGAATGTGTTGCCATCATCAAGTGAGACAGACACGTTCGTAAGTCCATTCTTGTAGAAAGTCGGAGTGATGCAGCTGACAATATAGGGATCAACGCGGTCTGCGAACACAAGGACATCCCCAATACCAGTGTTAAATTTGCACATTGCACTTTGATAAGCTATGGTGTTCGTTTCAAGACAGGGCACAGTAATTGTAAGAATTTCTCCACCAAGCTCTCGGAAATAGTATGGTGTGAAACTCAGGAGCTGTTTATTGTTTGGAAGAGACAACCCAGCTGCATACCCATATGATTCAGAATTTTCGTATCCATAGACAATGACAGATAATGGTGATGAAAGTGGATCAGTTTGTTCAACATAGTAAACTCCTTCTCCTTTAGGTAGCTGTACGGTAATTAATGAATATATGGTACCGGAGACATTACTTTCGCGAATATCTGTAGCATTGATTGGGAAACCATTAAGATGCACTGTCTGACGAGCGTCTCTTTTGGTGACAATGTTGATAAAATTAAAATAACCTCCAGAGTCCCCTCCCGAATGTGGAGGAGTTGTGAACCCAAACACATATCCAAATTGTTCCTCAGATGGAATATGTATCAAAGAAGGGTCAACTGTTCGACCGTTGACAGACGCTAACAGCTGCATCATCAGTGTAGGTTTGCTTGACGAAACGAGACCTGAACTATGCAAACTTCCTTCCCAAAATTCACCTGAGTCTAGAAGCTGATTTGGAACTCCAGGAATGGTAACGTTTGTACCACTGAAAAAGGCAATAATTCGATAAATATTACTGTCGCTGTTTTGAGATGAAGTGTATATGTGTTTCTGTCCCCAACTATTAATGGGTACCAACTGCTCAGTCAGTGTGTCACAGGCTGAACCTGGTGTATTTACGCACTCGTTGCCGCTAAATACTGCCACAGGCTTGTCACTTTGAACAATGCTTCCCGTTAAGTCATTTGTACTCCGGATCTGAACCACTTCTAACTCATTCACCATAAACGTCAACACGTCACCTTGATTGTAGGTTTGATCTCCAAACGAAACGGTGTCGCGTAAGGTAACATGAACTGTCGTAGAATCCTGAGTCCCAATTATTGCAAATTGTGATGCTCTACGAAACGTCACCACTACGTACTGAGTACCGAGATTGTTTGTTGGTATGCCGAGATAGCCGTCCGTTGTAAAATCTTGATACATTAGACCGTAGACAGACACGTCGCTAGAGGCTGAAACCTTGATTGCTTTTAAGCTTCTCCCTGTACCAGACATCATATATGCAGAAGGAATGTTTGTTCGCTTAAAACCACGAGCCTCAATCACGAAAGACTCTTGGAATGGCTTGCCAGCTTCTTGGTGCTTGCTGCTAATGGTGACTTCAGTTTTTTGGTCACTAAATGCTACCACTAAAATGAAGAGTCGTCTACTTGCAGAATTTTGATTTGTGTTTTCGATGAATGCTATGGTAAACTGTTTACCTCTGGATATTCCAAAGCACTGATTAGACGTCATCAAATCTTGAGCTGTCGATGGTGGTACTTCAGGAACAACAAGAGCAATGAAGATCACCAACCAAAGATGTTGGCTCTGAAACGTCTTTATTCTGCTACAAAATAATAAAAAAAAGAGGTGTATTAACTAAAACAAGTGTATTGTTTTTTTTAAATTTTTTATGACGCATTCATCCCAAGGTAAAACTTTTTTTTAAATTTTCCATTGTCTTATTTTCTTATTCTGGGCTCTATTTGAGAACGAATATAGAATAAATGTACATTGTATAGAAATTAGAGGAGAAGCAATTCGAATGTGAAAAAACTGTCACATTTTTGTGATTGTAACTATGTATATATTGATCTTTCTAGAGATATTTACTGTTTCAAATGATTGCTCACTTTTTGTAATGATTCCTGAAACTTCCGACGCACGACCCATACTAGAGTATAATATAATTATGCTGATCTAGCAATAAGCAAGATCCATTTTCGAATTAGTTCCTCACACAATCTGGATAACCAATCGTAGAAAAATCCCGACAACCTACATTATTAGACTCTCTTCAAGAATATTGATCGTGTTGATCACCTGAAACATTAAACAACCCACCAAGGAAAGTTTACTAGTAGGTTGGAAGTCAATGATGCTGCATTTGTATTTCTGCCAGGCCTGTTTACAATTCACCCGAATTAGGTAAAATCGTCGTCTTTTGGGACCTAAAGGTCAATATCCACAAGACTTGAGGTTTATTTTTTCCAGAATTAACTCTGCTTGCGGCGCCTTTACTTTGAGGCCGCTCTTTTTATTTCATTTATATAGTACTTTCTACAATGCGCCTAACATCACACCATCAAAATACATCATCAAACAATCATCAAAATCAGTCAGAAAGAAAATTAAACAGCAATGATAAACTGGGTCTGCGGTAGACATTTGGGACCTAGGAAAAATCATATTATTGTCCTCATTTTTCAAGGAAAAACTCTTGAGTTGGCTCTTAAAAATGTTGGTGAAGATTATTTACGGATGAAAAGGTGCATTTCATTCCAATACTGGGGTCCTAGGACAGAAAAGTACTGCCACCAGCCTTGGTTCTCGTAAATGGAATCTTCAGTCTAAGGGTGTCCATAGCAGACCTGAGGCCAATCCTGTCAGGCTGGTATTTAATAATCAAATCTTGCAAGTAAACAGGGGTGCGCTTGTTAACGCAGTTATACACCTCGATGAAAATCCCATACCTCACCCGGTCATTCACACGTAGCCAGTTAAGTTTACGAATTAAAGTGGAGGCGTTAGTACGGCTTGGTACTTGAAAAATTAAACTTGCAGCCCGGTTTTGTAACAATTGTAGGGACCTAAAATTGGCAAAAGAAATACCTCCAAATAACGTATTACTATAATCAATACGGCTAAGGACTAAAAATGGAACAGTATTAATACATGTACATCTATCGATAGAATTTCTAATACGGTATAAATCTAAGTAAAACTTAGCAGCCTGTTTAACTTTTGACACTTGTTTGTTCATTTTTAAGTGTTCATCCAGAAAAACGCCGATATTCTTAACAACTTTAGTTTGGTGTATTACCGCTTCACCTATCTCAAGCCTTGATGTTGTGAAGGTTGAAATTAAATCTGGGGTGGGGGGTGAAAAAATTATCATTTCAGTTTTTGAATCATTTAATTTTAATTTATTATTGTGCATCCAAACCTTTAGTTTTCCAATACCATCTTCAAGAAAAGCTAATGCTCTATTTATATCGACACCATTTCATTTTACTTTTCTGTAACTGTTACCCATTGCATTCATTGATATTGATTATTTTGGTTTTAATTCCTTCGTTCTCAACGCATGTAAAAAAATTGTATTTAGTTTTGTCAGCGTTTCATTTTAGCTCAGGATCAGTTTTTGCCAAAGAACACACTTTGTTCAGAAAAATATCGATCTATTACGGCTTACCAATAAAAAAAAAAAACAAATCTACATCAGGAGAAAAATATAATTGCCATATTTGACTTTATCGGAGTTTTTACTTCAAGTATCACAATGCATTGGTTTTGTAATTGTTGCCACAGAATTTTTAGGAAACAACGAAAGTAACAGTAACAAAAAGACGAGTCCAGCAATCGTTAATTTCAGTGATTTTTCCAAAAAAAAACCCTTTTGTCATCCTGTCGGTCAAATTTTCAAAACTATAAGATCATCCCCATTTCTTATTTTAATTTGTTGGTGTTTCATTTTGACTATAATGGTAATGTGATGATGATGAATTTTACTATATAAAAGTGTCATTTCCGGCCATCTCGAGAGGTACTATTTCCTCAGATTTTCTCACCTCAGCCCCAGCCATGGTGGGGCTGAGGTGGTTGTGAAATTACGTTTTTGAAGTAGGCCTATGTAATGTACTCAAAGACAATGTTTTTAAGCTTTTTTTTCTATGGTATATCACACACACATTAATAAGATCTCTATGGTTGTCAAAAATCCCTGATAAAAGATCATGAGAATTTTTTTTTTTGGCGCTTCATTTTGACTAATGGTGATGGGATGATGATGAATTTTACTAAAAGTGTCATTTCTGGCCATTTAGAGGTAGTATTTCCTCAAATTTTCTCACCTCAGCTCCAACTATTGTGGGGCTAAGGTGGGTGTCGACTCACAAAATGGCCTCCCCCTCCACCTTTCAAAATAGATCTGTGCCCTTCCCTGGGTATGACATTAAACTCCATCGAGTCGGCGGCTCCTGATGTATGTCTTAGTGACTGCTGCTTGTTTTTAGGATGTGATCTGGTTTTTCATGTCCATGTTTTCGTTATTAGGACTATTCTGGATAAAGAATGTTTTGAGCAGAGGTGGATTCAAGCCCCCCCCCCCCACCCACTTCATTTTTTTAATTATATTATTATTACGTAACTATTTTTTATTTAACGTCTTTGTTTTTATAAAACCTTTACCAAACTAGGCCTTGTCTGGCCTATAATAAGAGACCTGATAATAAAACAGGCTTATTGAACGTAGGCCCTACTAGCGTCAACTTGGCCGTAAACCAGGGGTGGCGCCAGAGGGGGCTGGGGGCTATAGCCCCCCGTCGGGGAAGACGATAAATTTTGTCAGGGAAAAACCAAATTTAAAAAAATATTTACATGTGATATTCGTTTAGCCACCATATCGTTTGTGTTAACTTTTCATCACAAAAACAACCACAATAACAATAATAATAATAACAATAATTATAATAATAATAATAATAATAATAATAATTCAATGAGACTAATTAAAAATAATATGCGTTCTGTTATGACAAATGCTCATTTAGATATCAAAAAGGTAATAAAAATTAGCCATAATTCATCAACTATCCGTGGCTTCCAGGGGCCGAAGCCCCCTGGACCCCCACGGGAGGCCCTGTGCGTGCCCGTGGCCCCCAGCCAAGTGACACTCAATTCGCTCCACTAGCCCCCCCCCCCGTCGGGGCCTTTAGCCCCTCCTTCGAGCAGGTCCTGGCGCCACCCCTGCCGTAAACGATACAAGGTAAAACCGCGAATAATATTATAATGAAATTATAATATTTTAATGTTATATTGTTTAATTAATATATATTTTTTTCGATATGAAATCAAGATGTTGCCCGGGCCACTAGAAAAACACCACTGCGTCCACCCCTGACTGGTTTTATTTCTGACTGTTTATTTACTTTTACTTTTTAGTTGCTGTTTATCAATTTTGTGTCTCTGCCCAGAGCCAGCCATTATTTCTCCACAGCATTGTTGTTTTTTTAGTATTTTGCCTTTTAACATATACATTAAGACGTTCCTCTCCTAGTCCAATCAATACATGCTGCTAGTAATCGAAAGTTGTGCAACGGGGCACAGAGAAGCTCTGGTATATGTTACTCCCAACATAAATAGCAATTGATTTTCACTATGGCAACGCGTATAACTTACAACTAAATTGTCTATTGTACATAGCCTATACAATAAGGGCCATGCAATAAACTGCTCAATAAACATTAATTGTATTCTGATAAATGAAAAAAAAAATCGGTATAGAATTTCATGTATGTTTTAAAATTTCTACTATATTTTCATTTCTTATTTGGTTTATGAAAAGCATGTGAAATCATAATAAAACCCGATATTGTTCTAGTCAGTTATTTTGAACAAAAACTAGATTTTTATATCTAGAGAAAGATCTAATAATTATTTGAATCCACATCTAGATGTGTATAAGAGACAGATCTAGAGATGCCCTAATCATAATTTTTATACACATCTTATATTTAATTAAATTAAAATAAAAGGCAAAATACCGGTACTGAAAAACAACAATGCTGCGTGCGGGACACATTGGCTGGATCATAGTAGAGATTCAAATTTGATAAGCAGCAGCTAAAATGTAAACGTAAGTAAACAGCCAAAAAATCATATCAATTGTACCCCCACCTCCACTTTTCACCAATCTTCAATTATTTTAAACCCCACTTTTCAAAGCGAGTGGAAAGAACAACAACAATTACGAATGACTGTCATGAATTCTGTCTGTTCACTTGTGCTCTGTTTCAAGTGCGTATTTTCGGACCAAAACCGAGTAAACACAAAATTGTTTGTACATTTCGTAACTTTCTCGGTAAACATTACATCAATTTTATTGTTCAACGGTTACCGTATCAGAGGCCAAGTTTATTGTGGAATCAATGTAGGCCCTGTGTACGTTGTTAAAATTTGAAGAGTGTAAACCTTTTAAGCTGCTGGTTCTTAATTTGTTCGACGGGTTGAGTTGATCTGACGGGCCAAAAATAATCTCAGCCGAGTTGAAAGAATTCGTTATACATCTGATCGCGTAAACACAGAGACAGAACATGGCGGCATATTGAGTCCTGTATGACTTGGACTATTTGCAGGACAGTCGACATGTTCTTTGGTTCATTAGCTTTTTATTATCATGTAAAATAAGAGGCTTACGAATGCAATTTGGCCTGATTTGTTTTTCATGAAGAAAAACAAATTAATGAAAGAAATAATTAAATCATAGTTCAATTAATACATTTTCAAAAAATCCTAAATGCAGTTCTTTAATCTTTTAACATATCTATATGATAAAGTATTTACTTCCCGTGGGCTGCAATGTTAAATTTAACAGAACTAATAAGAATACCAATCTTGGTATTTTTTTATATATATTTCCATTTACAGGGTTTAACATTAGATCCTGTCTCTTATACACATCTAGATGTGTATAAGAGACAGAATACATGCTGCTAGTAATCGAAAGTTGTACCACGGGGCACAGAGAAGCTCTGGTATACGTTACTCCCAACATAAATAGCAATTGATTTTCACTATGGCAACGCGTATAACTTACGACTAAATTGTCTATTGTACATAGCCTATACAATAAGGGCCATGCAATAAACTGCTCAATAAACATTAATTGTATTCTGATAAATGAAAAAAAAAAATCGGTATAGAATTTCATGTATGTTTTAAAATTTCTACTACATTTTCATTTCTTATTTGGTTTATGAAAAGCATGTGAAATCATAATAAAACCCGATATTGTTCTAGTCAGTTATTTTGAACAAAAACTAAATTTTTATATCTAGAGAAAGATCTAATAATTATTTGAATCATTCTATATAATATCTGTCTCTTATACACATCTAGATGTGTATAAGAGACAGTAACTTTCTCGGTAAACATTCCATCAATTTTATTGTGCAACGGTTACCGTATCAGAGGCTAAGTTTATTGTGGAATCAATGTAGGCCCTGTGTACGTTGTTAAAATTTGAAGAGTGTAAACCTTTTAAGCTGCTGGTTCTTAATTTGTTCGACGGGTTGAGTTGATCTGGCGGGCCAAAAATAATCTCAGCCGAGTTGAAAGAATTCGTTATACGAATGTTTGAAGCACATAGTAAAGGACCACGAAGATTACCCAGTGATCATTTTTTGGCGATATTTATTCTATTTATGGCTTATGGTATACGGTATATCATCTTGCTCATTTTCAAGCCGCCCTGTGCACATTACCCAGGGATTGCATTTTTGTCTTTACTATATTAAAAAAGCATTCATCGAACTATGTTTTAGATATTTTTTTTTTCATTATTTTGTTTTTCTTCACGGGCCAAATTAAATTGCTTCGCAGGCCGCTAACATTTTTACAAACGCAAATGTGCACAATTTTTACTATAATAAGAATACCAAAATTATTCCTGATGATGACATAATTAACGTCGAAATACTAAATCCCAACACGATGGCGTGTATCTCAATACTTGGATGTATTACACTTTTTTACCAAAATTATAGTTGTTTAATTTAAGTTTATATAGCCGTTATTAAACAATAACTTTACAGCTTTTGACACGGATAGGTCTATCTATTTCGACTTATTTAAGTAATGATACCACACGTTTACGAACACCGATGTTACGTATGTATAAGAAAGAAAAAAATGGGAATAAATACTGAATGAATAAATGAACGTTGACACAATAACGCCATGGCATCATGATAATGATAAATTAAGTAAATAACCTTTATTTTTGTGAAATAAAATCCTAATGTTTTGTATGCTTTATATCCCCATAGTCCTACCCCATAGCAATACTACTTGCACGAAAGTGAAATTTAAAAAGGGGAGAAAAGGGGAAACCTCTTGTTTGATTTTTAAAAAAAATTACCTACCTTGTTAGAGGAAACATGTGGTCGTTTGAAGATCTAACGTCTTGATTTTACTACGGTACAATCCGGTGAAGATTTCTATTTTTGTTTTGTGCAAACTGAAAATCAATGGAATGGTATTGTGCATTTAATGCCGTTGAAATGCGGGGAATACCCTAAAATCCACAAAACGATAAACCACGTTACGTGATATAGGAATTTGGTGTAAATCGACACTCGATATTAATGCGACTGTCAATAGCCCGGAAGTCACAAGGGATATCGAATTTCTCACATGTATACAGTGAAGTGACCGCTGAATCGCCTCATACCTATTCGACCGTACCACTTAACTGGAGGTGACATTCCCTTAAGCACATTCACACAAGTAAAGAATTTGGGATTTCATAATAGAATACATTAAACTATACGCAGCGTAAACTACAGTAATATAATCAAGCATTGAATAGGAATTTCCTTGAATAGTATAAACTTATGGAACTTAAGCAATTTTTGATACCTCACCTGAACTGTATATGGTCGGGCCGCTGACGTCAGTGTGGCCTGAGGGAGACCGAAATCCACCGTTGATAACAATTTAAAATAGTTCAACGTTTTACAACTACTAATTACAGACATTTCTAGATTTATGATAATTATTATTTATACAATGTAATAAAGATAACATTTCAGAATGAACTGGTTTTCAAATGGTCCTGTATTAGCCCAATAACAATTTTTTTTTTTAAATAAAATAAAATGAGATAAATATATACATCGGGAAAAAAGAATAATTATCATCAATCAAATATAAGAAAAAAGAGAAAGACAATCATAACAGCAGAAAACCATAAAAAGGCCTATACAATTTTTTAATTTTTCATTTTTTTAAAATGCAAGAAAATGACAATTAAACAGCAGAAAAACCATAAAAAGACCTACAGTATACAATTAGAAAAAAAAATCCATCAATCATTGAAGAAATGCTTTTTATATTGTGATTTAAAACTGTTTATGCAAGTACATTGTTTAATAGAAAAAGGTAAATTGTTCCACACTTTAGCCCTAACAGTTTTAAAGGAACTTTCCATAGCGAATAGTTTGAAACTGATGGTATAACATTAAGTGAATCAGGCCATCTAGTTGAGTATCCGTGTCGATCAACAACCATATCTAATTCGTTACATAATCGTAGTGGGGGCCAAACCATGTATACATTTAAACATCAGACAAGCCAAAACAAAATTACGTCTTTCGTCAAATAATTTCCAGTTTAATTGTTTAATCAGTGATTCACCACGATATTTTTTATAGTCGAAATTATTTAAAATATAATTCTTGCCGCTCTTTTTTGAAGCTTTGTTAGCATATTTTTATTTTTGTTTGATGTATTTCCCCATACTGAGATTGAGTAGACAATACATGGTTGAATTGTAGTTATATATAGTTTTACCAATAGAGATTTATTGAGGGTTTTCGCCAATTTACCTAACATATGGATTTTATAGCTTACCGATTTGTTTATATTTTGAATGTGATAATCCCATTTTAAGTGTTCATCAATTTCAATGCCTAGATATTTTATATGTTTAACTTGTTCTATTTTGGTTTGATCGACTTGGATTCTCAAGCTATCATGTTGTATATTGTACTTGTTCCTGATTAACATAACTTTAGTTTTATCAGCATTAATTTTTAGCTTATTTCCTATGTACCATTTTTGAATATTATCAAGCATATTTTGTAATTTTGAGTTGGCTTCAGTATTTGACTTTTCCGAAACATATAAAATAACATCATCTGCAAAAACACTGATGTTACCATGGGATATTGATTGGGATATATCGTTTATAAAAATGAGGAACAATATAGGTCCCAGAGCACTACCCTGTGGTATACCAACTTTCAAAGACTGTGGATTTGAATATTCATTGTGATATTTTACTATTTGTTTTCTGTCGGACAGGTATGAGGTGAACCATTTAAGTTCTCTGTTTATAATACCCTAATGTTGAAGTTTATTTAAAAGCAATCCGTGATCAATTGTATCGAAGCATTTTGAAATGTCGAGAAAGCATGCCGCTGTCACTTCATTATTATTCATTGATTCGAGACAGTCATCGATAACTTTATTTAGGCATGTAACTGTGGAGTGGTATTTTCTGAAAGCATGTTGATCGATATTTATTAGATGATTTTCGTTTAAGTAATTTAGGATTTGGATTTGGACACATTTTTCCACAATTTTTGCAATAATATGGCATACCACTGAGATAGGGCGATAATTATTTGCATTTTGTTTATCACCTTTACCTTTGAATACTGGACTAGTCCGTGTTAGTTTCCAGTCTAGAGGGATTATTCCATTTTCTAACGATTCGTTTATAATATCACATAATGATGAGGCGAGTTTAAGTAATTAATTTGTATCAAACATAAATAAATCCAGGTTGCTGTTTTCCGATAATGATATGAGAGACTTTTGAATGTATTCTTCTTAAATTATGCTAAATTTAAAGGCATGGAGGCAACTTGGATTATTCCATTTTGCTGGTTTACCTTTTATTGAATTCGAGATATCCGTACCGATGTTTGCAAAGTTTTTACTGAAATCATTACAACCTAAATCAGGGGGAATATTGTTAGAGTATTTATTTTTACCAGTGGCTTTGTTGAGTGCATTCCATAATTTTCTTGGGTTTTGTTTATATTTGATTTCAACCTCATTAAAATAATTAGATTTGGATTTCAGAATAATAATTCGTGACTTTGTTCCTTAGTGTGCGTTACTCATCTAAAAGGCTCTCAGAACAATTTTTATCGGCTAAACACTTCATATAATCACGTTCATAAATCAAGTTGATAATGTCTGGAGTCATCCGGGGAGGGGGCGGGGCGGGTTAAATCGATCTTTTACTCTCATTGTTTTTATGGGCGCATGTCTGTCGCTTATTTTAAGGAAGGAATTTTTCCATTTATTCCATTTGGTTAAAGTGTCATCGTCTTTGTTCGGGTTTTTAAATGTAATACATTCGGTTAGGTCAGAAATAAATTTGCTCTCATCAAATGATTTGTAATTTCGAAAAGTATGTGTTTTATGCATTGGTTTGGATATGCTTGTGTTAATGCATGTATAAATTAAATAGTGATCGCTAGGTGAAATATTTGCAACGTCAGTCAGGACATGTAGATCTGCAATAGTGCTCAGGATAAGATCAATGCATGTTGAAGTCTTGCTTGTAATTCTTGTTGGTTTGTGAATAAGTTGCGTTAGCATAAATGTATTTTCTATCATATTAATTGGGTTAAGGTGTAAGTTTATGTCTAATTTGTAATCAGTATTTAGATCTCCTAGTAAGATGATTTCTTTATTTTCATTTGATGCTAATTCTAGTGTATTTGGTAATTGTTCATAATGTTCGAATTTTATGTTTGGAGGGCGATAGACGCAGGCAATAAGAAAATTTGCTGTTTTTTTCATTGATAATTCAATCCAGATGGTTTCGAGATTTCTATATTTGTTTAAATTTTGCCTCTCGATGTATGGTATTCCTTCCTTAATAAAGATACAGACCCCGCCACCACATTTCCGTTTATGTTTTTTCCTTCTTTCAAAATTTCTGTCCTTACGAATAATGGTATATTCCTCAATATTTACTTGTTTGTCATGTATATCATTATTTAACCAGGTTTCAGAGAAGCAAAGTATATCAAGTTTTGTTTTCATTAATAAGAAATGTAATTCATCCAATTTGTTTTTTATGCTTCTAATGTTTAAGTGGCCTATTTTTAATCCCTTTTGATTTGACAATTTTTTGGCACATTTCTCATGACTTATTCTTATATTAGCATCATATTTATAAAAGTTCTTCATATTTATGTTATTGTCATCATTAACGTCACTATCATTCTTAGCAAAGTTATCGACATCCACGTTATCATCTTCATCATCCACATTGTCACTTTAAAAATCTTCATCATCATCATCATCTTCATCATAATCATGATCATTGTCATTTACATCATCATAGCCATTTTCCATATATTATAATATTATTTATATTATTATTTTTATCATCATTATCATTATCATTAGCATCATTTTTATAAATATGGTTCATATTTATTAAATTGTCATCATTATATTCACTATCATTAACATTAATCCTCCCATCATAATTATAACCATAAATGTTACCATGTACATCATTTTCCATAATAGCAGTGCTTTCGTTAGCCACATTGGATTCAGTTAATTTTAACTTTAACTTGGCCCCATTTTGTCGGCCAAACTGTCAATGTTCAGTACAGTTTCTCATCTTATGACCTCCTTACCGGATTTTAACATTTGATTGGGCGATTAAATCTGCAGTTTTCTTGTAGATGGTTTCTCTCTCCACAACGATGGCACCCCAAATAGTTTCCATTTAGAATGTATTGATATTTTTATGACCAATTCTGAGAAATGTACGTTTGTTTTGCTATTAGTCCGGATGAGTATAATGGTCTTAATGAACAGTACGATTGCCTTGATGGGTACGCTGGTAGAGATGGGTATGTAGGTCATGGTACAAACGATCGTGGTGTTGGGAGTAAGGTTCTACGTCTATGTGATTGATTGGATATTATGTTGAGTTGATGGGAATCGTTGGCTGCTGCGCTTTTTCTGTTTGAGTATGTTGTGGATTGAATTTATATTATATTGTAGATTCCTTGTTCCTGTGTTTGTAAGATGTAGTCCTCTTTTAGTAAGTAGTTGTGATTTTATTTGTCCCCGAAATTTGAAAGTTATATCATATATCATTATCAATAAGTGTGTATTGTTTAGTATTGCATATGTCTTTTATTGCGTGTTTGAATTTCGAGACCCTAAAGATATTTTCTTTTGTGTCAAACCTAGGGCGTATTGTGTAGATAATATCAATTCAGTACTTGGAGCAATGTTTTCTATTTTATTCAACATGTTTTTGTAATTAGTTATTTCATTTCATTTCATTTCATTTATTTGTCTCAAACAATTAGAATGTACATAAATAGAAACGGCAAGGAACAATCACAAAAGTACAAAAAACAGAGGCAGGACACTCCAAAAGTAAAATCAATCACTGTCGAGTGGAGGCCCTTTACAAGAAAAACACAATACGTACAATATAAAATTCTTCAGAAAGATAAAATATCGAAAGATTATCCCTCTTTCAAGATCGTCATCGTTAGTGCAGTTGCTTGTCCCAACG